TCACCCCCCAACTGCTTAACAAGATTCCTGATGTCTTTACTATAAAAGTTTCAAGGACTCTGCTTCCACCACATTTTCAGGAAAGGAGTTCTAAACAGCCTCTTTCTCTGCAAGAAAATAAATTCTCCCGATCCCTCTCTGAAATGGGTGTCCTCTGACATTTTAAGCAGTGACCCCCGAGTTCCAAATTCTCCCACGAGAGGAATCACCCCTCAGGATCTTACACATTTCAATCAAGCCATAGGATCCCAACATGTGCAGAAAGAGACCATTCAGCCTATCAAGTGTGCACCAATACTCCAAAGACCATCCCACCCAGACCCAACCCCATAACCTCATAACCCCTCATCCTTCATGGCCAATCCACCTGGTCTGCACATCTTTAGACTGTGGGAGGAAACTGGAGCACCTGGAGGCAACCCACACAGACACGGGGAGAATGTGCAAACTCCTCACAGATAGTCATCCAAGGCTAAGGATTGAACCCTGGTCCCTAGTGCTGTGAGGCAGCAGAACTATCCACTGAGCCACCGGGCCACCCAGTCACCTTTTCCTCTACTAAAGTCCAGTGGAAATATATCACCATTCATTCAACGTCACGGAGTCAAAATCTTGGGACTCCACCCCTAATGGCATTATGGGTCTACCTACAGCACATGGGTTGCAGCTCATCATCACCTTCTCAAGGGGCAGCTAGGGACGGGCAATAAATGCTGGTCCAGCCAGCAATGGCCACCTCCTGTGAATGAGTAAAAGAAATGAGACAAGCCGAGTCCAGCCTTTCTTCATAAGACAACACACCTATTCCAGGGATCGGTCTGTGTAAACTTTCTCTGAAATGAGTCCAACACATTTACATCCATCCTAAAATAAGGAGACCAATACGGTGCATAGTTCGTACACCATATGACCTCCATCCCATCCACTGTTTCCTCAAAGACTACTATATTTAGCATTCAGCTCACTTGGCTTTGGAAGAGAAGCTTTTATATTTCTGAAATCCTCGGTATTAATTTCCCACTGTTCCTACACTGCATCAAACCCATAAAAACATCTGACTGAAATTCTTCAAGTTAATCATTCCTAGATCAGAACTGCCTGCTTACATTTACCTTGTGGTAATCACTTATCTCTGTCTCCAATACTGACAGGGAGAGAGATTTGACCTTTCAAATCCTCCCCACCCTTGTTAGTCATTTTCTGCAATATCTTTGTTTGATACACACTGGGAAAAGATTCTGGGAAATGCTTCCACTCTTTCTTTTTGATTGTTTCCCTACCAATCAAACACTGTAAACCTGCTCACAGCAATTCCCTCCCTAATCATGGACTGCAGTGGTTCAAGAAGGAAGCTCATCCCCACCTGCTCAAGGGCAATTAGGGATGGGCAATAAATGTTGGCCCAGCCAGAGACTCCCATATCCAGTGAATGAATGTAAAAAGGAAATAGGAGTGGCCATTCAGCCCACTTCGCCAATCAGCTGGCTCATGACTAATCAGCAACTGTAAACTCATTCTCCCATTTCCCTTGATAATGTCAATCTGTTTTATTCATTCACGGAGAGAGAAGTGTATTGAGAGAGAGCGCGGGAGAGAGAGAGAGATAGACAGGGGAGGGTGCTCAGAGACGGGATGAGGATTTTCGATGGGGCCAGGCCTGAGAGTTGGCTGGGGAATGGAGGAGACAGCAGCTCCTTTCGATGTAGTTAACTGTATTCCCCACTTATAATGCAGTCAGCAGCACAAAACCCACCATATTCCAGCTCCTTTCAGTTCCCAAGATGACGCTGGATGTAAAAGATTAACACTATTTCTCTCTCCACACCTGCTGAGTTTCTGTAGCATTCTGTTTTTATTTCAGATTTCCAGCAAATGCAGTGTTTTATTCCTATAAGGGTGCACAGAAGAAATTTCAGTAAAGGCGAAGCAAACAGGGTAGCTGGGACCACAGGGTACAAAGTGGTAGCTATTCTGGAAATTGCTTATCTGGTTAGACCACAGATGGAGTACTGTGTGGTTCTGGAATCCACATTATAGGAGGGATGTGATTCTATTGGAGAGATTTACCAGGATGCCGCCTGGGCTGGAGAGTTTCAGTTATGAGAAGAGGTTGGACAGACCGGGGTTGTTTTCCTTGGAGCAGAGCAGATTGAGAGGGGACGTGATTGAGATGTATAAAATGATGAGGGACATAAACAAGGTAGACAGGCAGAACCATTTTCCCTTTGAAGGAGGGATCAATGACCAGGGGGCATAGATTAAGGTAAGGGGCGGAAGGTTTAGAGAGACCACCCAGACGCTGATGGGAAACTGGAACTCACCACCTGTAAGGGCGGTAGGGACAGAAACCGTCATTATTTAAGAAGTATTCAGATGTGCACTTGCAATGCCAAGGCACACAGGGCTATGGGCCAAGTGCTGGAAAATGGGATTAGAAAAGTTAGGTAGCTGCTTTTGACCAGCATGGACATGATGGGCCAAAGGGCCATGTTTTGTGCTGTAGATCTCTATGACAGTCCATTCTACGTTTGGGAAGGGTTTCAAGAGATTATTTACAAATTATATCTTTCCTCATCACAAAAATGATAACTTCTTGAAAATCAGCATTAATATCGCATCATTTTTTAAACAGGTTACTTGCTGTTTTGACTGAAGAAAATAAACTCCTAAAAAGAAACTCAGCAAATACAGACAAATTATTACTGTCTGACTACATCACCTGATAAAGGAATTAGCAAGAATGAAAATGCAGTCAAATGAAAGCCAAAAAGTAGAAAAACATAAATCAATTGGTCACCGCCTCTTGGAGCAGAGAATTCCAAAGATTCAGCACCTTCTGTCAATTATTTTAAATATATACCCCGTGGCTTGGGAGAACTATTTTCCCCCATTTGGTCTCTCAAACACCTCAGTATTTTAAATAATCTCTATGTTAGGACATCCATGAACCTTTTCTGCCCTTAGTGTAAAGAATCCTTGCATCATAAAACACTAGGGCAGAGGAGAGTGTAAGACAGCAAGGCCAATAGCACCACCTAGCTGTGATTCAGTTGCTAACATCCTCAGGTCAACAGCCTGAAGGTTGTTGGTTCAAACCCCACACCTGGCAAGTTTCATTCCCCCAAAAGGATAGCAGGGAAGGAGAGAGGGATTTTCTTTTACAGCAATTTGACAGCTGTAACATGATCATCATCAGGCTATGTTTTTATTCTGAGGTTGTACAAAATTCAAACTTCACCAATAAATGCTGACTGCCTACATAACGTGAACAAATTAAAAACCTGAAACAGCACCAGCCATTCGGTCCCTCAGGTCTGCTCCATTATTCCACGACATCACGAATAATCATCACGCCCAAAGCCATTCTCCCACCTATACCTCGATATCGTTCATTTATTTGATTCATTCTCGGGATGTGGATGTCTCTGGCTAGGCCAGCATTTATTGCCCGTCTCTAATTGCTCAGAAAAGAGACAACCACATTGCCGTGGGTCTGGGGTCACTTGTGGGTCAGACCATGTGAGGTAGGCAGACTTCCTCCCTGAAGGACAGGAGTGAACCAGATGTGTTTTATTGACAAGAAATAATGTTTTCATACTCACCATTAGACTACATTGTTATACCAGATTTTTAATTCAGTTTAAGTATGACAATCAGCCATGGTAGGATTCGAACCCAAATTCCCAGAACATTAGCCTGGGGTTCTGGTTTACTACGGCAATGAAATCATTGCCAAGCCACCACCTCAGAAAAGCTGTACAGGGTTTTGGTGACAGCATATAGGGTGTGCAGTTTTGGTCCCCATGTTTAGGGAGGTATACACTTACATTGGAGACAGTACAGTGAGGGGGCCATTGGTCCCTGGGATAAACATGGCAGGAAAGGCATGGGCAGGGGATGGTTTTTGATGAAGAGATTGAATAACATAGGTACGTACTCAGAAGAATGAGCAATGATCTCGTTGAAATAGTTGAGACTCTGTACAGAGCTTTACAGGGTCAACACAAATGATTTCCTCTGGGCTGTGAAATCTAAAACCTGGGGCAGAGTCTCAGAAGGGGCTGATTATTTTGGAATGAGATAGGGGGAAATCCTTTCTGCCAAGGGGTTGAGAGTCTTTGGAATTCTCTAGCACAGAGGGTGGTGGTACATTTATGGCTTGGATAGGCAGATTTTTGTTTTCAGGGAAATTGAAGGATATGAGGAGTGGGTTAGAAAGTGGAGAACTGCCATGATTGTACTGAATGGCAGAGCAAACCCAATGGGCTGAACAGTCTACTCTTGTTACTGGTGTGTCCCTGTGTACACAGGATGATTCCACAGCTAGACATTTGCTTCATCAAGCTGTTAAGAAGGGAAAACGTGGCATTCCAACACCTCAGTATATTAGATCACACACTCACATCCCTTTTTGGGGCCATGCAGATACAATCATAGAACTTTATCGTACAGGAGGCCATTCAATCCATCATGTCTGTACCAGCTCTTGAAAAAGCTATCCAGCTGGTCCCACTCTCCATAACATTCTAACTTCATCCCTTTCAAACATATATCCTTTTTGAAACCTCCGATGGAATCTGCCTCCACCACTCTCCTAGGCAGCGCATTCCAAATCCTAACAACTCTGAGTACAGAAGTTTTTCTTCATCTCTCCTAGCTCTCTTGCTGACAATCCTGAGATCATGACCTCTAGTTACTGACATACCAATGAGTGGAAACAGAATATCCTCCATTAGCCTGTCAAAATTGTTCATAACTTTGAACACCTCAATAAAGGTCACCTCTTGATTATCTGACATAGGGGCAAATCTGCTCCCTCTGAGAAACAGCTGAGATGTGAAGCAAATTTCGAGTTGTGGAATTATCCTGTGTATTAGACACTGCAACATTCCCTACAGTTATAGCTGCACTTAACAAAAGTCCATTCTTTACTGGGAGGTCATGTGGAACAAGCTGAAGTTGTGACAGATGCTACAGAAATGCCAGACCATTTCCTTAGGTCCTCATTTTAAAAATATTTTAATTCTTCAACAGTTCAGAATGACAATTTCAACGATAAAAAAAAACCTGTTCAGAACAGCCCAGAAGTGACCTTTCTTCAACTCTTAGCTGCCTGCATGTTGAGGTTCAGGGTGGGCGAGAGACTGACTGCTCCTCAGTCTTTGGGCCATCGGGGAGTCCGGGTTTAGTGCCAAAAGGACAGCAGCTACGGTTCATCTTCCAGCGATTTCACTGAGCTCTCTGACTTTACTTGCTGTTTGTCTGAAACCCCTATCTCACCCAATGAGAGTGCTGCACCTTCCTGATCCTGAAAGAAATACAGAAAGTAAGAAACAAAAAGACACTTGCACTTATATAGCACTTACAGATTGTAAAGTACTTTGCAGACACTAACACTTTTCACTCCAAGAGTAGTCACTGGCACAATGCAGCAATGTGTACAAAGCATGTTCCTACAAACAGCAATGAGATTATGGTCCTTTAGCAATATTAGTTCAGGAGGACATATTGATCAGTATTGATACTGATCAATATTGATCAAGTCAGAAAGGAGAGGTCCCTGCTCCATTTTCATGGAATGCAATTGGATCGGTCACATCCATCCGAGAGCACGGATGGATTTCAGTTTAACGTCTCATCTAAAAGATGGCATCTCTGACAGGGCTGCACCCACCCAGGTACCACACTCGGAGTGAGACCTGGATTCGATGCTTAAAGTCAGGTGCTATCACACAAGCTTTGACTCTGGGAGAAATGCAGACCTCAATGGTGAGCTAAACCTGTGATTATATCAAACCTTTCCCAGGGTCTCCCAGAAGTCTGCATGTCTCTCATCTCTTAGGAGCCACATAGCACGCCACTACCAGCTGGAATGGTGCTACAGGATACCGGGGAGTGCACTGGGGTCAGCAGCATTGGTGCCACCTCTACAGTCCCTACATCTTCGGAAATAAACTTAAGGGAAAGCATGCAGCCAATTAAAAATAAATCCCACTGGGAATAATGTGGGAATTCACCAACTGGGCCCTGAGCCACTATCCCCAACCTTGAACAACCCGGACAAACTGCTCATGGTCATGGGATCTTGTTGTGCAGCATGACAACAGGTGTCACATTTAGTGGAATGTACTCAACTGCACGCAAAACAATAGGCCATTCAGTCCATCCAGTGCACACTGGTGTTTCAGTTCCACAAAAGCCACCTGCTAGACTCTCTCTCTCCCCATCATCTCCTTCCATTCCCCCCTCCCTCAGACGGTTGGTCTCATTTCCTCATGAGATGTATCGATACTCAACCGCTCCCCATGGGAGCGAGTTCCACATTCTCCCCATTCCCTGATTAATACAGTTACTCCAGATAGAATTCCAGTAACCATTTGTGGTGGTCTTAGTATTATGGTGCCATCCTTTGGGACTTTCATACAGGTGAACCCAATACTAGCTAATAATTAGCAAAAATAAAGTGCAACTAATTGTCTTCGAACACACAGACATTCACACCCTGAAAGTTTGCAAAATTCCTTCAAATCTCCCACTTTTCAGACAAGTGGCAGGTCTCTTTTCCCTAGATTGGGGTTTTCAAGACTAGTGGCCATGTGTTTAAGGTGAGTGCAGAAAGATTTTAAAAAGGATATGAGAGGTACCTTCATTTTTAAAAAGAGTGGTTTGTGTGTGGAATGAACTTCCAGAGGAAGTGGTGGATGCGGGTACAGTTACAATGTTTAAAAGATATTTGGATAAGTGCACGAATAAAAAATATTTGAAGGGATATGGGCGAAGCTCAGGCAGGTGGGATTAGTTTGGTTTGGGATTATGGTTGGCTCGGACTGGAGGACCAAAGGGTCTGTTTCTGTGCTGTATGACTCTGATGTGAAACATCACAATCTTGTGGCTTTCACAAGTAACTGCATCTGCACTCACAAAATCTTTTCACTCACATCTCCAAAGGCACTGTTTCACATTCAGAACGGTCAGCACTGAGTGAACACAGTTAACAAGATAATTGGCAAATAAAAAACCCCCAGGGAATTGGGGGGAAAAAAAGAGTGAGACAATTCTAGTTTCTGTTTTTGCAGTGAGATGTTGTGATCTGGAATCCCATGACCTAAAGGGCAGTGTGTCAATACAGCAATTAATTAAGGTTCCAAGGGAAATGAAATCCAAACAAAGAAACATCCAACTACCAAGGTGTGAGGATAAAATAAAACAAAGAACTGCAGATGCTGGGGATCTGAATACAGAAATTGCTGGAGAAATTCAGCAGGTCTGGCAGCATCTGTGGAGAAAAAACAGGGTTAAATTTTTGAGTCCAGTAACCCTTCTTCATAACAATTCTGAGAAAGGGTCACTGAACCCGAAACTTTAACTCGGCTTTCTCTCCATGCAGCCACCCCTGCTGAGTTTCTCCAGCTATTTCTCGTGCGTTTAAGGTTGACAGCTGAGATAGATGGGGCAACTGCATTAAATACCATGACAGCGCATACATAATGATTAATATTTAACAGCAAATGCACGCATTGCAGCAGTTAGACATTCCTTTCCGACAAAAGGACGCAACAGGAAAGGTGACCCAACCATGGCTGACACAACAAATTAAGGATAAAATTAGACCCAGAGATAGATCGTATAAAGTTGCTGGAAAAAGTAGGAAGCCTGATGCATGGCAGAGTTTAGAATTCAACAAAGAAAGATGAAGAAGTTGATTAAAAGTGGAAATTGAACCATTAGTGTAAACTTGAAAGGAACTTAAAACAGACCATAAGGGCTTAAGTAGAAACAAAAAGATTCGTGTATGTCAAATGCCTAAAACCGGAGAAATGACAATGGAGAACAATCAAATAACTACTTTAGTTTGGTCTCCATAGAAAAAAAAACAAATAATTTCACAAAATGCTAGGAAAGCAAAGGTCTATTTGGAAGGTGGAATTGAAGGAAATCATCATCAGTAAAAAAATAGTGATGGAGAAATTAATGGGACTGAAAGTTGATAAATGCCCAAGGCCTGATAATCTACGTGCTAGGGTATGAAGGAGTGCCAACAGAAACAGCAGATACATTGGTTGTCATCTTCCAAAACTCTGTAGATTCTGGAACAGCTCCATGAGATTGGGGGAAATCACAAACGTAACGTTAGTATTTAAGAAAAGGAGGGACGGGAAGAAACCAGTTAAGCCTAACATCAGCAGTGAGACAACTGTTGGAGGACCATAAGACATTGAAGCAGAAATAGGCCATTCAGCGAGATCATGGCTGAGCTGATCATCCTCAATTCCGCATTCCCGCCTTTTCCCCATACCCCTTGATTCCCCTCACCGATTAAAAATATGTCTATCTCAGCTTTGAGTATGCTTAACAACCCAGCCTCAACAGCCTCTGCGGTAAAGAATTCCACAGATTAACAACCCTGCGACTATTGTAAAGAATTTGATAACAATGTTTAGAACATACCAACGGGATTGCACAAAGTCCATACAGATTTCCAAAAGATAAATAATGCTTGGAAAATCTACAAAGACTTTTTTGATGACATAGCTGGTACAGTAGATGAGGGAAAACTGTGAACGTGGTTTACTTACATTTTCGGAAAGCTTTTGATAAATTCCCACATACAAGATTATTGTGAGAGATTAAAGCACAAGGGATTTAGGGTAATATCATAGCATGGATTATGAATTGGTTTACAGACAGGAATTAATGGGTCATTTTCAGAGTGGAAGACAATGAGAAGTGGGGCATGACAAGAATCAGTGCTTGGGACCCCAGCTGTTCACACTGTATCTGAACAATTTGGGCAAGGGAATCAAATGTACTATTTCCAAGTTGCTGACTACACAAAAGTAGGTGGGACTGAATGTGGTAAAGAGACTTTAAAGACACTTCAAGGCAATTTAGACAAGTAGAGAGAGTGAGCAAATGTGTAGCAGATGCAGTGGAATGTGGATAAATATGAAGTTGTCCACTTTGGTAGGAAAAGCAGAATCGGAGAGATATGCTTAAATGGACAAAGTCACACACCAGGTTATGGTCCGAGATAGTAGGAACTGCAGATGCTGGAGAATCTGAGTTAACAAGATGTAGAGCTGGATGAACACAGCAGGCCAAGCAGCATC